TAAATAGGATGACTCGACCCGCGAGTACTAACAGCCGTCGTCTCCACGTAAACACACCGTTCATATAGTCGTCAAAACCGGAGACAAGTATCAAATAGTTTAAGGAAAACCTCTCGAGTCGAGCGATAGGTGTCTTTGTGTCGATATTGCTTTCAATGAAACCCTCGTATTTTTTCTTAGCCGCGATCAACCTTGTTACTTTTACGCTCGCCTCAAACATGTTTGTTGCCATTATTACCTTATTAACTCACTCGTCAGTTAGTATTACAATAGTTTTATTTAGACAATGTTGGTGTTTTGAATGTCAACTTCACTCTACAACAAATTTAATAAAACACTAGATTAAACCGTATATTTATTGCATATTACGACATGATTTATGATTTATCTACAATTGTCTCATATTTTAAACTGCTTTTTGAAGACACTTTATGATTAATATTTTAAAATAAACTTTCAAAAAATCAATATAAACAAGTGCATTTTTATATTGTATTAACTAAAAACATCATCATAAATTATATAAAAGTGAAGTCCAATCAAAATTATTTTTGTATAATGGTTTTTCTCTCATTTATTTATGACATTAATATATTTTATTTAAAGTCAACTACAATTAAATTTACTTCTATAATAATATAAATAATAAATATGATATATTGAACATTTTCTATATTCTATTCGTAAAATTGTTATAAATCATTAAATAGAAAGAATTATTATCATAAGTTAAATTCAGTATATTATAAAAATACTTTTTAAATTTTATTTGTTTTATCATAATTTTATTATATTTACAATAGTTGCTTATTCATAGAAATATATCATAACTGCAATTCGTAGCCTTCGATTTATAATAATAATTATTATTTTTATTTAGCAAAAGCGATGAAATACATAACATGTAGTATTCATTTCAAAATATAATTTAAAAGTTTTACAAATTGTTTATAATTAGATTCCATTAGTAAATTAATCGGCAGATTATTATACAATTTAATGCTATAATTAAAATTTTTTTGTCAATTAACTTAATTCTATTAAAATTAGTTTAAATTAAAACTCCATTTCTTGACGTTTGAGTAAACTTCAGATGATTTTGCCATTCAATAGGAATATCATTGAATCCACACTTTATTTTTTGCACAATTTTTAATACACTTATTTCGCGGCGAGATTTCAGTGACTTTATATCCAATAATTCAAATCTTTGTGTATAATTCAGATCAGATTTACCCGATTTATATTTAAACAAATCAAACAATTTCATTGTGGAAACAATTATAAATGATTTATTAGTAAAATGAATTGATTAATCAAATCCCGAGTTGACATTAGCAGCAAGGTGCCCGCCATCAGCTACTAGTATTGTACCAGTCACAAAACTAGCTTGATCACTGGCCAGGTAGGCAACAGCGTTGGCAATGTCTACTGACTCCCCACACCTGCCAACCGGGTATATACTGCTCATAGCGTCCCAAATGGCATTGGTTTGCTCATCAGTGACCGGCATATCTCTCAAAATGTTTGTGCGAACAGCTCCGGGACTGTTATATAGTTTAATAGTTTGATCATGGTTAGTTTCTATTTTAATATACAATTTTATAGTCTATAAATACTTGACTGAATTAACGCGAATGCCTTTTGAGCCCAAATCAACGGCAATACATTTGGTGAACATATCCAGCGCTGCTTTTGACATACAATAGCCTGACATCCCTTTGGCCTAAAAATGAACATGTTCAAATATTATTTATATTTGTTTCGTATATAAGTATCCAAATGCAGAGTTTAATGATAGGAATAATTAAAAATATTTTTCTAATAGTAATAATTATTATGATATTTAATATTTTATAATTTATTTAACTAACAAACATTTATTTTAATTACTAAATGGATTAATAGACTCACAGACTGTATGCCAGCGACACTCGAAATGTTAATTATGTTTCCTTTAGTTTTCTTCAAATATTGTATCGATTTATGGGTTAAATATATCACAGAATTAAGATTTGTTTCAAACACTGATCGTTGAGTTTTAAGATACTCGGCGTCTGATATCTGGGAAAAGCTTCCGAAACCCGCGTTATTGACCAAAATATCTAATTTTCCAAATGTTTTAATAGTAGTGTCGAGAAGTCGGTCGAGATCTGCCTCTTTGGTCACGTCTGCCACCACTGGAAGTGCTTTCAGACCTTTTGGCGACAATTTTGTACACTCTTCGCATACTTTGGACACATTATCGGCATTACGTCCAGTGATTACAACATTGGCACCACTTTTGGCCAATAGTAGAGCAGTGGCCGCACCGATGCCTGAAGACGAACCCGTTATTAGCGCTACTTTTCCCGAAAAGTCATATATCGCCGACATTTCAAAATGCTATAACTTTTTAGTATAAGTTTTGCAAGAATTAAACTACTAAATGACAAATATATTTTTATCAGTAATAAAACTCTTCAATTAGTGCGAGAATTATTTGTTTTGTTATCGTATTTATACAACTTCTATACCAAGGTTTAAGAATCAAAACCTAAACATTCAAACCATATCTCTAGTAATTGTAATATCGTTGAGATAAGTGATATATCCTTATTAATATTTAATTGTATAATATTGTTGTGGGTAACCATGTACATGCAATTATATCTGTGTTCAGACAAGGGGTGTAACTATATGCGGATAAAGTGATGGTAATTTTACACAACTGTTAGTTTAAAAGTTATATTTACTTATCTTGTTTTGCACTACCTTTTAGTGCAATGAGTACAGTGTGTATCTGATGTAATGGAAATTAACCCAAAGTACCGATTCGTTCGCGACTTAAGATAATGGCATCGATTGAAAGGTTAACATCGGGTGACAACTATTGCAAAATTATTGTAATATTTTTATAGATTTTAATATATGATTTCACTTTAACTTTAAATAGGATTCATATTTATTTTTTAATGCAAAACAATATATAATATATTAATAATTAAAAAAACATAAAAAAGAAGTAGAAGTAAATCATATTCAGTTTCGAAAATACAAACATAAACTAATCTTTAACACAATTGAATTGAATATTGTATGGTAGATTTCATAGTTGGTTATATTTTAGAATAAACTTATAATAAGTAGATAATTAAGTCCCGCATAATAAACATATTGATAGAACTCGTAATTATTCATTGCAAACAATTCATAGCAATAGAAACCAATGTCGGGTCCGCACAACACTTCAATAAATGCTATTATCTTAAGCCTCAAACGTATCGGTAGTTTTGGGTTTTGGGTCAAATATGAGTACATAAGGGGTCGGGGCTTATGGGCAGCCGTTGTGATCCAAGCGCTCAATATATTTAATTGTAATAATAAACTTAATGTTAATATTGATAATACGGGGGAAAAATAGTTTAAAATTAAATTGTCTAGATAATATGTATAAACATGAAACATTTGTATGGCAGGTGTAAGCAAATAATAGATAAGTGCCGTTAAGTAACAAAAATAATGATTTATACCAGCAGTTAATTTATCTAAATATTTGTGTTCATTCATTGCATTTATTAATATATTACAACTCAGTTGGCAATGACCTAAAGCGGATGAAAACACAATTTTATTATTTACCTCGATGAATTTAAATTTCAAATACACTGAACAGGCTAACCATATGGCTACTCCTATTGATAGCATAGCAAATGATTGACATATTAATAAACAAGTTATTATTAGTGTTATTACAGTATTAATTATGGTAAAATGTGCCCGGTTATCATAATAAGCTATAATCATACAGACTGAATAAAATATTATACATATTATGCTACTAATAATTGTCACTTGATGAATAAAATATTTGGTAAAAGTATTGACTATTTTTGTAAATTTTTTCATATTATATGCATTTAAGGGGTATTTCTTGCGTTTATGTTTAATATTAGAAGATAACGATAGTATGTGTAAAGTGTGTGTCCAGTCCTGATGGCAGACAATACACCCATTAATTAACCCAATCAATGAAATGATAGCAATGCAAGTGTCGGCTAAAAAACTCTTGTCAAACAAAAACGTTGGGTTAGACATCAAATCGCGGATCCATTGCTACACAATATCATTACAATTATAATTAATTATAAATACAATAAAACATATGTAATACCAATACCTCGTCTATTATGGCACACAAACCAAATCTAATTGCAGTTATAAGTAATGCAATTCTGGATAGTATTACAACTATTAGTCTCCTTTTGCTTCTATAATCTATTAAATAATATTTTAATTAGACATTAATTATTGGTTTTCATTTAAAAATATAATTTTACACATAAATACCTGTCATATATTCATCGCAATCATTACAAATGCTCACTAAATATAATTTATTAAATGTGTCCATTCGTGAGATACCATCACTAATATCATCGCTTACATCAATATATGATTTAAATTTTAATATTATATTATTTACCATTTTACTTTTATTCACAATTATTCACATTTAATCACAACAACAATTTACTAAAAGCACTTTTAATAAAAATTATAAATATTTGCAATCACAGTATTAATTGTTATTAAATGTAATATTGTTTATATCTAACTAAAGATATTGATCGCAATTCATGTATTTTGTATAAACTTTATAATCTATTTATTACAATAATATTGGTTTTATTGCAATATTGTAAAGAATAATGTACATGAATCTAAAATTAAACATATATCGTGATTTTGTTATTGATTAATAATTAGGATCATTTTTGTTTAAGTGCATTGCGTTATAAAAATTTTGTTAATAACAATAACTGTTATTAACAAAATGACATTGACATTACAAACAACAATTATTTGCATTGAATTCTTCTAACAATATTAATCGATGCAAAAATGTTATTTCAATCATTCATTTCAATAATATTTATTAACTTTTTAAAAATCAATATTTATTTCTATGAAATCTTATATAATGAACAGCAACGAGATTTAAACCATTGCAATGAATATAAAAAGTAAAACACATAAACGTAACATAAAATGAATGAATAATACTTTTAAAAAGATAACAAATAAGAAAATAATTAAAATAAAATATAATAATCACAATTGATTTAAATGATGGGTAATCTAGTTTGAGATTTGGTCGCTTTCTTATCGATACCAGTATTAAACTCCGGGAACTGCATGTTATAGCGCTTATCCAAAGCCAGGCCGACGTCGCGCACATCTAACCGCCCGGCGCTCCGGTTGTGAGCTATCTTAGCGGCCAATGACATAGTATTGATAATAAAATCATCGCAAACATCAATCATCATCTCTTTAACCCCTTCCTCCACATCCATCTCCGGCACCACTCTATCGATCATATTCTGGAAGAGTGTGTCGTTTATCTCAATAATCGGATCATTACTTCTCTTGAGCTGAGGTTTCAATTCGTTGACTGATTTTGACTTCTGGAGCAAAGGATTGGTCCAAACGTGAAGCGGAACCTCAATCTTCTTAACCATTGACGACAACTCTTGGTTGCCGTGAGTTTGGGATCGGGTTTTATACGGCATTTTGAACACATCCTTCTCCACAGACTCGTGGCTTTGATTCTCTTTGTTTGACGTATTGCTGGCGGATCTCGTGGTGACCATCGCTTGGCGGCCATTATCTCCAGTTTGGGCTGTTTTGAGCCTTTTGTTTGGCACCAGCTTTTGGTCCACTGAGTCCTGTTTTCGTGGTCTTCCGCGCAGTCTTTTAGTTGCCATTACTGTTGGGCCCGAAGTATCGTTCCGAAGTCTGGCCACCACTGGATTAATAGCCACCACTTCTGCCGCAACTTTCGCTGAATTAATTGTATTACCAATTGATTTGAGTGCCGACGACTTGACGCCAGACGTGTGCGGCAATGGCTTAGGAGTTGAAGTCATATTTAGCGGCAATTGTCTCGCCGTTGAGCTCTTGTTTTGCGGCCATTTCTTAAGAGTCGGTGTTTTGTTTTTGTGCCGTTGTTTCAGACCAGAGGTCCGACTCATTGGCGTCGAAGTACTCGATGGCTGGAAAAAGCAATACTTCCGGTCACTCGGCTCTGAGGCTCGGGTGACCACCGCTGGACTTATTGTCGCTTCGCTGCCAGTGTTAAGGCTATCGGCAGATATGTTGTCCGTGTCGTGCGGTTCACAAGACATTGTCTTTAACTATCAAATTTGAAATACAAGTAAAATATTTAATAAAATGTGTTTCTATTGAATGATAAAAGCATTTAACACTAATTTGAGACAAACGCTAAAAATGTGCTCAAAAACTAATTTCCAGATAAAGTAGCTGCATATATTCAGTGATATTAAACTTTTAATAAATTATAAACTATTATAGTATTTGTACAAAAGTACTGCAGATTATAACGTGTAAAATTATTTAAATATTAATAATTATGATAAATTGATAATAACAGTGTATTTTATGGAAAAATTATTGACATTTGATATTGAAATTTAACATTTAATCAAATCTTAAAATATTTACTAAAAGGTATTCACCATTCGAGTCAATGCAGATAATTGTCTAATCATTGTTTGTCGATTGAATTCTTGTGGATCTCTATTCTTGGACTGCAAACTGGGAATTGAGAGACAAGAAAACGATTTGATTGATTGACATATAATTATAATTACACTGTATTTTGGCATTTATTGTTCACTAGTTTTTTGTTTATTATTATTTTTGCGCAAATAGTTTACGCAATCATTTTTAACATCAATTCAACGGCAAAACTAATCCTATAACTAATTAAATGTAATTAAAAGTCATTAAAACTAATTAAATGTACAAAACTTTGAAAAGTCAGTAAAACTAGACGTTATTTATAGTGATATTGAGTTTAACAGACGTTAGCATTGAATGCATTGAAAGTGTCAATGAATTTGACGCCAAAACAAACTGATTATCACTTGAATTGTCACTCAAATCGGATCCAATGGTGGGCTTCGATGGCCGCCGATTCACCGGACTGTCCGCCACCGCCGATGACCTCAAATGTGCCGTTTGTCTCAATGTCTTCGACCGCGCGGTTGACACCCATTGCGGACACACTTTCTGCTACTCATGTCTCGAAGAGTTGGTCACAAATCACTTCCACGACATTTGCATCCAATGTCTGGAGCCGTTGGCCACCAGAAAGCAGTTCCGACACTCGATCGCCATTACGGCCGACGTATCTGTGGTCGAGAACCACTCCGTGAACGCAATGATCGCCCGAATGGCCATCAAATGCGATAATCACCGCAACGGCTGTCGGGAAGTGTTGCCATTGGCTTCACTGGAAGACCATCTGAAGACATGTGAATATACAGTGTGTCACACATGCGGTGTCTTCGTAGGTGTGGCCACCGATGACCACAATTGCGTCGACGGACTCATCAAAGAGACCATCAAATGGCGGAAGTGTTACAAAAGTGTTGTCAAAGAGAACCGATTGTTGAGAC